TTGCAGGACCGAGCAAAGAAAGGCATCTTTGTGGGATATCCTCAAGGTGTCAAGGGATACAGAATCTGGTTGATTGAAGAAAAGAAGATCCTAATCAGCAGGGACATACTCTTTAAGGAAGATATGGTGTACAAAGACTTGAGCACCAGAGGGAATACTGGCCCAATCCACCAAGAAAGCGGCCAAGAAATCACTAGATTCGGTATCACGAACTTACCAGGTCAATTCTCTGATCACTCACAAAGGGAAGATTGTTCAGCTTCAGGTGGAGATGATATAGATTCTCAGGGTGAAGACAGAACAGAGGATGAATTGCAGGGAACTGACCCGGACTATAGGCCAACTACAGAAGAACAAGAACAAGGAAATAATACAGATGAAACAAATCAAGGCCTACAAGATTACCTCTTAGCAAGAGACAGGGAAAGGAGGAATATACAGCTTCCTCTCAGGTTTAGAGAAGAAAGCTCGGTATCATTTGCTCTGACAGTAGCAGATGAGCTTGAGATAGATGAACCAAAATCATTTACTCAAACTATTCAATCAAATGACAGGAAGAAATGGCAACATGCCATGGAGGAAGAAATGCTATCCCTACAGAAGAACAAAACATGGGAACTAGTAGATAGACCTAATCACCAGAAAGTGATAGGATGCAGATGGGTTTACAAGAGAAAACCCGGGATACCAGGAGTCGAAGAACCTCGGTTCAAAGCCAGACTTGTGGCCAAGGGGTACTCTTAGAGAGAAGGAATAGATTTTAATGAAATCTACTCTCCAGTAGTGAAACATGTAAGTATCAGGCTCCTGCTCTCCTTAGTAACCTACAAGGACCTAGAACTCGAGCAACTAGACATCAAGACAGCATTTCTTCACGGGGATTTAGAGGAACAGATCTTCATGGATCAGCCCGAAGGCTTCAAAATCAAAGGCAACTCTGGGAAAGTTTGTTTACTCAGAAAGTCATTATATGGATTACGGCAATCACCAAGACAATGGAATATGAAGTTTGACAGCTTCATGATACAGAAGGGATTTACTCGGAGCAAACACGATCTCTGCGTGTACTTCAAACAGGTAAGTAATAAATCCTACATCTATCTACTAATCTATGTGGATGATATGTTGGTTGCAGCAGAAAGCAAGAAGGAAATACAGAAGGTAAAGGACATGCTGGTTACTCAGTTCGAAATGAAGGACCTGGGTAGAGCTAAGCGAATATTGGGAATTGACATTGAAAGAAACCGAACCAAGAGAGTTCTTACACTATCTCAGAAGGATTATCTGGAAAAGGTGTTGAACACATTTGGAATGAGGGAGGCAAAGTCAGTGTTAACTTCCATGGGCACTCACTTCAAGCTAAGAAGCACAGGTGATCATGAAGAGACATTAGATTTGGATAAAACCCCCTACCTCAACGCTGTGGGAAGCGTCATGTATGCTATGATCGGGTCTAGACCAGATCTCGCATACTGTGTTGGTTTAGTTAGCAGGTTCATGAGCCGACCAAACAAAACTCACTGGGAAGCCGTAAAATGGATACTGTGTTATATCAAGGGAAGCTTGGACCGGAAACTGGTCTACACAGACAAGACAGAGGATTTCTCAATCACAGGTTATTGTGACTCAGATTTTGCCTCGGATTTAGACAGAAGGAGATCTATAACAGGATACATCTTCACATTGGGTGGAAACGTTATAAGCTGGAGATCATCACTACAACACGTCGTCGCCCTCTCAACAACAGAAGCCGAATACATGGCTCTTGCCGAGTCATTCAAAGAAGCATTGTGGTTGAAGGGAATAACAGAGGAGCTTGGAATCAAGCAAGGAACGATGAAGATTTTCTGCGATTCACAAAGCGCCATATGTCTCGCCAAGAACAGCGTCCACCATGAAAGAACAAAACACATTGATATACGCCTGCACTTTCTGAGAGACATTGTTGCCGAAGAGAAGATTCAGGTTTGAAGATCAAGTCAGAGGTTAATCCAGCTGACATATTGACGAAAACACTACCGGTAGGCAAGTTCAACGAGGCGTTGGATTTGCTGAAACTTACTGAGTAGGAAACTCAGTGGATGCCAAGTAAATACGAGCTAATCCATGATGAACGAGATGCCATTGACGAGCAAGGTGGAGTTTGTTAAGGAATGCTCTGAAAATGGCAAACCCTCTGAAGAAAGCGGAGGGTTTAGAGAAGTAAGGAAGCTGGCACACGTGGAGGATAATTCCGGCATTTCACGAGGAGGTTGTTATAAGCTGTTAATCGTCTTCTTCCTCCAGCGTTTTTTTCTTTTCTCTCAGTTTTTGCTCTCATTCTTTCATCTCTCTCCTACCTGTTCTTCGATCTGTTCATCGGTTGTATGAGCTTCGATCGTCGTCGTCTCTCGATCTCGTTATAGTGGATTGCCAGGTTTACTTGGCCGTGACATAGGATTCAAAGGAATCCGAACACGTAAAATCTCCTGTGCATTGTCTTTCTTTTCGCTTTCAGTACCAAATTGATTCACGGATAATACTCAATCAAGGAACAACAAGTACAGATCTCATACACAATTTATATAATGATATTAATATTTTATAATTTTTTGTTTTTTAAATATATCATTTTATAATAATTTAATCTTACATTGTCATTGTTTTATTATTTTTTTTGTCAAATCGAATATGTTCAGTTGAGAGAGAAATTGTAGTTTTATGACAAAGAAAAATATGTGACACGTGGTAATGCGTGAGTCATCGTCATCACGACGACGCCATGATCTCATTTGCACCCCTTGAACCCTAATTTCATTCTCACCCACTAGTGATCAACACTAGTTTATATATACATACACATATATAATAAAATATAAAAAATGATATATAATTAAAAATATTTAAAACTAATTTTATTATTATTCTCTCTCTTACACACACAATACATATATATATATATATAAGTGTACACATGTTTTTTTTATAAAACTTATGCTATTATATCAAACATTTAACCGTATTATATTTAGGTTATATAAATGATTGATTAAACTATTTTTTTTGTTGGTATATATGGAAATCAAATAATTAAAAAAACAGGTAGAAATAAGATGCAGAGGAGAGCAGCTGGAGCCCGTGTTGACACTGCAAGACGTGAGAGATAGAATTTGGAGAACATCGGCGAGAGAGAACATTTCTCAACAACACATCACTTTGCTTCCGAACTCCCCCACCTCCCATCATCTCATGCTTCTTCATTACGGTCGGAGCCTTTCATAATTAATTAATTATATATATAATATTATAATTATAATATATATAAAATAATATTCTAATCTCTCCCTTTATCTATTTATTATAAAAAAAAGTATGCCTATAATTGTTTATCATCTCCCCTTATCCTTTTTTTCTCTCTCTTTAAATAATTTTCTTTCTACCTTGATCTTCCGTCGAGGGTGGATTTTCTTATTTATGTTCCTCGATATTTTGTTTTACGATTTTTCTAATAATGGAGAACCAAATTGATGTCTAATCCGATAGAAATATGCCCTAACCGATGTTTTATTGTTGCAAGGTGATGTGTTGAATAAATGTAACCTCGGCAATGTAATGAATATTTGAATCATTGCTCTTGCTATTAGGCCGATTTCTTTTTACATGTTATTGTCGTTTTCTTATTCAATTTCTATTTTGTTTTTTTAATTGAGCCATTGTCTCTGTCGGATCTGAATCCTATGAATTATAATATTTAGCCCATTTAAGAAAATGGGCCGATTTCGGCCCATCAGAATTCAACTTTATCCGAATAAACTTTAAAAGGGTTTTTTTTTGGAGAGTTTGATTTTCCTCTTGTATAAATTCCATAAAAAAATACATGAATGTGTAAATATATATATATATATATATGAAGTATTAGTTTGATATATATCAACATTGCGACCATTAATCGAGAAAATAAAATCTGGTTACGAGATCCATATCTATACAAGTATTAAGAATTCAATGGAAGGATCTCATACATGCACCTTTTTTTTTTGGTTAATGAAAGTTGGACCGACCAAAGTATATATATATATATATATATAATATATGTTGTTATATCGTGAAATAACAATAGTTGGAGATATATAACAAGGGCTTCTCGTTACTCAACGGGACAAAAGTTCATGCTCGTCCACTACTTGCTCACGTTGCCTCCCCTCTTAAGTCTCTATTAGTGGGAGTTTTAGTACGGTTCTTCGCAATCGAAGCGTGCCGAATCGAAAACCTCGATAATATTTTTCGAATTGAATGTTCAAAATTTTAAAACGATATTTTTTTTTGTAGAGAATTAAAATTTTCCAAAATCGAAACGAATCGAATAAAATTTTTTAAAAACTCTAAACCCAATTTTTTAAATAAAATATAATTTTTTCTTAATAAAAATCAAAATCCAATTAAATTGAAAGAAGTGAACCGAATAATTATCGAACCAAAACCATTCTTTATCTTGATATTCGATCTATACTTTTTGGTTAGAGGGTTCATGGATAATATTACCGGTTTATAAAAAAAATGCATAATAATTTTATATAATCTTAAATGTCATGAAGAGATTTTCAAGCAGATCTAGAATCTATTTTCAACTCTTCGAAATTTCAGATTCTATTTATAGTTATGGAAATTTCAGATTCTATTTATATTTGTAATTTTTTTTTATCTTGAAATATTTTAATCAGTTTTTAATCACATTTGATATTTTATTTTCATTAGAAAACTTACTTATTTTCCTTAAAAAAATTATTCTTTGCTTTTTTTAGTTGTAATATTTTTACTCCGAATTAAATTAAGTTCAATCAATTTAATTTCTTAGATAGTGTGTGTGTATATATATATATATATATATAGAAATTACACATTTAGTAGTTATAATTTGTTATAGATATCTGCACTTCACTAATCTCCCGAACTAATCTCTACTTAAACGTAGAAACTAAATCCAATCTCCCTTTTTATTCTCTTAAAAAAAAAACAAGGCTTCCTTTAATCTCACTCCATCGCCACCACGAGGATCTAGGCCTGAAATCTCTCTCTCTCTCTCTCTCTCTCTCAGTTCACCTCTACGTACACTCCTCGCTGCCGATGGAGCGGGCACGCACGGAGAGCCCGAGCTACTTCCGGCAGTGGAGCAACGAGTCCGGGCCTAATGCGGTGGCTCCGTCGTCGCCGGCGCGTCATCACCACGCGCGGTCCTCCTCCGTCACCGGCATGTCCAACGTCAAGCGCGCGCAGAACGTTCCCGCCAAGGCTGCCGCTCAGCGGCTTGCTAAGGTTATGGCCTCGCAGACCACCGAAGATGACGACGACGATGACGGCGTCGGTGATGATTTAGGGTTCCGGTACGGTGGTCCTCCTCCGCTCTCTTTCCCGAGAAACTCTGCGAGTAGACCTACTGCTTCTGCTGCTGTTGTCGCGCCTCCGAAGATCGCCAGATCTTCTTCTCCCGCGGTAAAATTCAATTGCCGTTTGTCTGAATCCGAATCTAATCCGCGATTTTTGTGCTTCTTCGAGTTGATCCGTGTAGCTGATGTAGAATGTTCGGTGTCTGAGTTGATTTCCCGCAAAATTTGTTGACCCCTTTCTGATCTTGAAGTTTTTTTTTTGCTTCAGAGAGATTTGTTGACCCATTTTTGATCTTGAAGCCACTGATGGTTTCAAGTTCACATTTTTGAAATGTGGGTATGCAAACCTGGATATGTCTGCAGAAATTGATCATTGATGAAAGATGAACTCTGATAAGGGTAGTTTATGTTCTACAAGCTGTGTTCTGATTGGATATTTGTCGGCAATGTGAACTAGTTACCTCGGAACTCATCCACTGATGAAACTCCAAACGGCCGATCTGCATCTGCCGGGAGATCAACCGTATCTGTTCGAATGTCACAGCCACCAGTTCCGCCGAGCAAGCTGTCTCAAAGAACTCAAACTACTACTACCACTACTCCACAAACAGCAGTTGGAGCTCCTAAAAGACAGCAGCAGACTGAAAAGAGGTGAAGAAAATCCGGGAAATGGCATTTGCTTTCTAGGGTTGTGATTGGTCGAGTTTCCATTCAGGGCGTTAATCTTTTATCATTGCAGATTTTTGGCTGATATTGGGCATTTTAATGCGAAAGATTCTAAAGATCAGCACGTGGCATCAGCACTTCGTGATGAAGTATACTCTTCATTTGTTTGATTTTGATTTGTGGATGCCTTTTTATTGGATATTAACGGTTTCTCTTTGCGTCACAGCTCGATATGCTGCAAGAGGAGAATGAGAGCGTCCTTGAAAAGGTAATATTTCTTGTCTTGTTCGCTTTTCTAATTTCTTCCCTGTCTCATTCTCAGGTTAACTGATATGTGTTTGAGCTAATTTGACAGCTCAGGCTCGAGGAAGAGAGATGCAAAGAAGCAGAGGCTAGAGTGAAAGAGCTCGAAAAACAGGTATTTGGTTGAAATCAATCAACTTGAATCTATGGGTGGTGGGGTTTTCATTTTTATTCAGCTCTCACCCTGGCAGCGAATTTCAGGTTGCCTCTCTCGGGGAAGGTGTTTCCTTGGAAGCTAAACTTCTTAGCCGGTAATGATTTTCTTTAATTCTATTCTGATTTTCTCTGTTTTCCTTTTCGGATTGAGATTCTTAAATGAAGTTACTTTGTGTTAATGCTGCAGAAAGGAAGCTGCTTTGCGGCAGAGAGAGGTGTTTAGGACACTGAACACCCTTTTACTCTACTAGAACTTCCGAGTTTTTTTTCTAGCTTTAAGTTTTTTTTGTTACTAATTATATTATGACAGGCAGCCCTTAAGGATTCAAGGCAGAATAAAGCAGAGGTAGATAAGGAGACAGCAGCTCTTCGGTCTCAAGTAGAGGTAAACCTTTGTGTCATATTCTTGTGCTATATTTATCCGTAAATTTCGATTAATTACAAATTCACACACTTTGTTTTACCGAAACTCAGAATGCAAAGCATGAGACTGCAGCTATTGTAGCACAATTTCAAGGCGCTGAGTCAGAAGTCAATGCTCTTAGAACGATGACACAGAGAATGATATTGACCCAAAAAGAAATGGTATGTAACTTCATTACATGATGATCTTACACACGTGCCCATTGGCGGGATTTAACGACAGCCTCGTATACTTTTCAGGAAGAAGTCGTTCTTAAGCGGTGTTGGCTAGCTCGGTATTGGGGCTTAGCTGCTAGATACGGTAACCAATTGATGAATATAACAAAAGATTTCTGCTCATTTTTTGTTTGCCAGTCGATTTTCTCTCCTGTCATTGATTTCGGTCGGTCTCTGTATTTCAGGTATATGTTCGGATATTGCGACGTCAAAGTACGAATACTGGTCATCTCTGGCACCTCTTCCTTTTGAAATTGTATTATCGGCTGGACAGAAGGCTAAGGAAGAAAGCTGGGAGAAAGGTAAGCAATCCACTGAGCCGTTTTGTCTTATCCTATTGGTTACTTGTCGTTAATCTATGTCTTTTTCTGTTGGCCATGAAAAATTGTGAGCAGATTCTGAGGAGAATGAGAAGAGGAGCGAACTCGTTCAGGATATGAATGATCTAACGGGAGAAGGAAACATTGAAAGTATGCTTTCTGTGGAAATGGGTCTAAAGGAGCTTGTTTCTTTGAAGGTCTGATTTCATCCTTGTGAAAAGAAAAGAAAAGAAGATCTGCCTCTCTTTCCTTACAGTTCAATCCTTCCTGTTGGATTTATCTCATGGATTGATCTTTTTAAGGTCGAAGATGCCATCATCGTCGCATTAGCCCAGCAAAGGTTGGCCAATTCTGCCCGACTGTCGGGCTCTGGTGAGCTTCCATAGAAACAGTTATCGACTTTTCTGTCCAATAATCTCTTTTCGCCCTTTCCGTGTGCTCTCTGAAAGCGGGTTTTTTCCTTTTCTGGTCATTTTCTCACAGATATCAAGTCGCCAGGAGGTGATCCTAAGTTTATGGAGGCACTCGGTAAGTTGTTTGAGCTTATGTTTCTGCATTTTCATGTCGACATTTATGGTATTATCACGACTAATTTTTGTTATTCTCGGTGATAACTTCGAGCTCGGGCTTTGTTTTTCTTTTCCAGCAGAACTGAGTCCAGAAGAGTCCGAGGATGTTCTTTTCAAGGAGGTATATAAACATTTCAACAATCTTTACATGAATGTCGAAAGCCTGATGATCTTTACAATCATTTATTACAATGAATAAATATGTTCACAGGCATGGCTTACATACTTCTGGAGAAGGGCTCTGTCCCTCGGAATAGAAGTCCACATTGCCCGAGAACGTCTCCGGTTCTGGATCAGCCGAAGCGCTCACTCTCCGTCTTCCCATTCCCGGGGGGGGGGGGTGTGTTAAGACAAGGGTTTTGGTCTGAAAATCCGAACTGATGGCCAGTTTCTATGTCTGGTTCTGATTTCAGTTGAGCAAGGATTAACCGAACTAAGAAAGCTGCGGATCGAACACAGATTATGGGAGGCATCCCGTTCGAACCAGTAAAAGCTTTTACCGTCGCCGGAGAAAGGTAATGTTGTCGGAGAGATATTTCCGTTTTGTAATATCCGACCCACGGTTGAAAGATATACGTTCACGTCCAATGTTCGCACTCGAGATGTTTGATTTGCTCAATGGGCTTAGTTTCCGATCCACGTTTTTCTACGCCTCGATAATCATTGCGAGTAGGAATGGGCACTGAAATCTGAACTTTCGGGTATTTTTCGATCTGTACGAAATTGGGGTATCCATTGTAGGGGTGGATGTTTCGGGTTTTGTATTCCGGTTCAGTAGTTGTGAGATTCTGTTCAAGAACGGTTTATTTGGTTCTATAAAAATTGCACCGAACTAGAACGGAATGTTAATCCATTCGGGTTTAGTGTTGGTTTGGTTTGTAACATTATATACCAAATAAGAATCAAAATTTGAGTATTCAAATTTAAGCTTGTAAATTAGGGGGAATAGTCCAGTTTTTGGTTTGGTATTTATCATAGTTGGTTATTTATTGGGTCAAGTTCAACGGCTCAAAAAGAACATATTCGATTTTATAATAATTATATCGAATATTATTTGGTTAGATCTAATACACTATCGATTTAAACCGGTTCAGACCTAAAACGTCGACGTTTTACAGTTCACACGTTTTCAAGATCTTTCAAATTTGGTGTCCATGATATTTTGTCAAAATGATCTGTGCGACTTCTCTTCCTCTTGTCCCTCAATTCGTCGATACAACACAAACCCGACTTCTCCTTCAATGGCGGCGATTAGGGTTCGGTGCCACAGCCATGCACCTTTCCCCACGTGGCAGCATTCCCGCCACCGGAGGTCGCCGTCGCTTCCACTTTCCCCGAATCGCGTCGGTTTCGGCGCGCCGGGGGG